TGTGTGTGTGTGTGTGTGTGTGTGTGTGTGTGTGTGTGTGTTTAGGATGAAAAGCAGGGCTGGGGCACTGAACTACTCCCTGGGAAAATGGGTTTCACTTTCCTCCTTTCCACTTGCAGCCTGTGTCATCCCTCTGGAAAGCTCCTTCCTGGGCCTTCCTTTTTATCACCTGACTCTGAGTTTCTTTCTGTACCCTGATCCTCATACCTAAAGACAATTCCATGCCCTTCTCCTCTGCATGAAACTGTGGGCTATCCTCAGCCTGAGATCTGGCTGAGAGCTCTCCAGGACCCTATGTGTACCATGGAGGGTTAGTTTTGGAGACTGGAGACCTACTGAAGGTGGCAGCAGCCCTTCCAGCCTTGACATAGCTTTCAGGATGGAATCTGTCCTAGCTTAGAGTTAGCTGCAATGCCAACATCCCACTGAATCAGGAGTTGAAGACTGGGCTAGCTTTTTCACCCCCTCCTCAGCTCCAGAGAGCCCTGTCAGCCAGAGTCCTGGGGCTGGGCTCTGTCTGTCCCTTGGCAAAGGAGGTATGGCTGGGAGTCCAGCCCTGTGTCTGTTTCCCCTTACCCTCCTGGGTCCTGTAGGACATCCCTGGGGAGACCTGCCCCTTACACAGGGACAGCAGGGTGAGAAGCCTTTGAATAAACAAGAGCTAAGTCATCTGGGCAGAAAAAACAGCTCATGAAATTAACCAGACAAGGCCGGTGTTTCCAGGAATATTTCAGTTCTGAGGTAACTGTGTCACTGTGGGCTGGGGGGTGGGGGGAAGGCAGGAGAGAGAGCAGAAGGAGCTGACTGACCAGCTGAGAGAGAAACAGAAAGAGGCAAGGAGTCTCAGGGATCACAGGCGAGAAAGGGCAGGTGGAATGACAGGGCTCTGCCTCTGCTATAACAGTTTCCTTGCTGGACAAGATGTGCCCACATTTCAGGCAGAAAAGCTGAAGGCTGCCTGGGGCAGAGAACACCTGAGTTCTGTGAGCTCTGGAGCCAGGGCAGCTTGGGGTTGCCCTTGGCCCTGGGCAGGAGTGTGCATGGACTTCCTAGAGCCCTCATCCATTCTCCTTTCTATCTTGTGATACGCAGGTGGACCCCACCATGGGGCCATGTCTCGGTCCCTCTCCCAGCCCTGCCCCCCCCAATCTAGCCCCACTTCTTCTTCTGGCTGCTGCCCACTGATTGTTTACATCCCGTCTCCTCCTTGTGTTTATAAATCCTGCTGAGCACGTGAGGAGCTAATGAGTGCAGCTCACGTTTCCTGCTGCAGCCCCCTTCCCAATCCTGGCCCCTACCAGGGCCAGCCCCTAATTCCGTCCAGATCCCTGGGCCTTGGGAACCGAGGCCCCCCTCATGAACATACAGTCTTAGCCCACGCAAGCACAGGGCCACCCTAGCATGCTGCATAGGCAGGCACACCGCCTGCATGTCTTTAACCAGCTGTCCCTTAGTCCCTGCCTATCTTCCAGGCTAGCCACACTTAGCGAGGGTGGCAGAGCTCCACAGTACAGATGTCCAGGGTAGCTGGGGTGGAGCCTCTGCACCTGGGACTGGGACTGAGATCTGGAATCCCTAAATGTTGGGGCCAGGGAGGCCCTGCAGAGTTCCAGCAATGCCCAAAGGCTGGACTAATTATGGGAACCGGAAGGTCCAGCCCTCAGCCAAAAGAGAACCAGTACACAGGTGACCCTGGAGGGGTCTTTTGAGAAACCTAGGATGGAGTGACCTAATGGGTGGTATATACACTATGATGTAAGGTCCAGACATTGGGATTACAGGACACTGTACTACAGATACCTCCTAACTTTCTTGTCCAGGGAAAGGCCCACAGAAACCCAGCTTTCTCCATTGTCCACTCTAGATGCCCTTTTCTCTCTTCTTTTTTTTTAATTGTTGTTTTTTGTTTGTTTGTTTGTTGAGACAGGGTCTCTCTATATATGTCAGGCTGGCCAGGCATGGTGTCGCACGCCTGTAATCCCAGCACTTGGGAGGCTGAGGCAGGAGGATCACTGTGAGTTTGAGACCAGCCTGTGTTTCATACTGAGTTCCAGGTCAGTCTTAACTACATAGTAAGACCCTGTCTCAAAAAAAAAAAAAAAACCCCACCCCAAAAAACAAAAAAAACAAATATATGTCAGGTTGGCCTTGAACTCTATGTAGCTCAGGTTGGCAACTGTCCTTCCTCAGCCTCCCAAGTGCTGGGATTATAGGCGTGAGCTATCACACCCAGTATCCTCTCTTCTTTCTTCACCTTCTGCCCTGTCCCGGGTTCACTTTTGGTCCAAACTGCTTAGAAGTAGCAGGGTGAGTGGGGACAACACATGGGCCTGGAAGTCAGGAGACCTAGCTGTGCCATGATCCCGTGTGGTAACTGTGAGCTTGCACAAGTAGGCTGCACTGTGCACATTAAAGGACCTCCCAGCTGAAGCATGGGGCTCCATCTCTCCTGTGGTCTCCAGTATCCACTCCTGCCCTTTTCTTGCAGCTCAAATGACAAGAAACCCAGGTCCAGGGAAAGAAGCAAAGGATGGCTCAGCCCCTGGCTTGTGAAGTCAGTCACTAGGACAGTTGGGCTTTGGATAGAGGAAGGTTCTTGACTGTACCGCAAGGGGGCCCTGGGTGTGCTCAGGGAGAAGAGGATGAAGGCAGGGGGAGCTGAGCAGCCAGCTGAAATCAGAGGCAGGGGGAAATAGTCCTGGCAAGTATGTGGGTGAGCTGGAAAAGAGTGATATTATCAAGAGTGTGCAGGAGGGGGAGGGAGGGGCTGGAGAGTGGCAGGAGCCAGGATGTGAACAGGCAGGTGGCAGGTGGGATTGTGGGGAGGAATGTGAAGTGTCAGGAATCAGTAGCTGGTTGTGCAGAAGGTGCCCGCACAAGTGTGAATGGGACAGGAGAGTGGTGGGGAGGAGGCACCATTGCTCCAGTCGGGAGTTAGCACCTTCCCACTGCCCAGTGACAGCTTCCACCATCTCTACATGTTTCCTTCCTTGGATGAACTTTTGTATCCAAGACAGCCAGTGTATTTGAGTTAGTTGGGGGATCGCATCTAGTCTGTTAGAAGAGTAAGAACCTGTGCCCCCACAGAAGGGATGGTGTGCTCAGAGCGAGGTGGGGGGTGGTGTCCATCAGGGGCTGCGAAAGCCCAGAGATGTCCCCTAATCCGATCAGAGAGAGGTGTGTCCTGTACTCCCCAGCCCCAGGCTCTCTCCAGGACTCACATCCCTCTGCCATGCCCTCACCGCCCGCAGCCCCCTCCCGCTCCTGCCGTGGAGGACACAGGGGTCGTCTGCGGGGAGGGCTTGTAGCCCAGCGTGGAGTTGCTGGAAAGGAAGGTGGGGAGAGCCGAGACGCGAGGACGCTGGAGGGGCTTGAAGTTTTGTTTCTTGGGGCTCGGACCTGGAACTGTGCGGCGGTGGCCACTAGCCGGCCCTCCCTCCGCCGCCTTGACCTCTGGCTCCCGGACCCCTCCTGCAGCGGCGCCTTCCCCCT